TCATGCTACGTGAGCTTCTTGTGTATGTTACATTATTTATTTAACATTTGAATGTTTCGATATCGTATTTGATATAAGCAAATGTTCGTGAAAATCACCGAATCTGGCCAAAAATTATAGGTTTCCATTCACTAGTTATATATAACGATTATTTAATATTTATACTAAAGGTGTTTTCTGATTTTGTAGAATATATATTAATATATTTCCTACTTCTCAAAAAAGTAAAAAAAAACAAGAAAAATTTAAGTACACATAAACATTAATTTGATGTCATATAAAATAAACTTTTTTTCACATTACAAGTTTAATCTTTCTTTGATTTAATGACGGGAAAATATAGAGGAGTCTCTTAAAAGGAAAATTGTTTCCTATGAGTGGTTGTGAAGTAGAAAAGCCGAAGAATTTTCTATCTGCAGAGCGCATTCCGTTCCCATTTCTTATAATGAAGTGCACAAGTACCTATGCATTGGGAGCGCACTTAATTGATGCTTCGACTTAAAAATGACTCATTCAGTGCTTTCAAATTAGTACGGTAAATAGATAATCAACCTCCTATGGCCGGAAATAATTTTAACCGGAACTTAATTAAAAATTTGGTCGCCATTATATTATTTATAAGTGAGAATTAATTCAAAATTCTCGTAGCGTCGTGGTAGTTGTTAAATAATATATCATTTCGTAGTCGAACTTTCTGATAATTCACTAAGAACTTTGTGATGCGCACAAGGTAAGTGCTTGTTGATAAGCCGAATTTCACGGCTTTTAAATTTCATAGAAACAATTATAAACACTTATTCATTAATACGGAAAGGTCCAATAATATAATTAATATTTTTATTTATTGTTTTCCTTTTAAAAATATGTTACTTTAATTTTATAAAAATAAAATAATAATGACTTGAATATTTTTTCACATATCTTGTAGTTGTGATGTGAATGTCATGTTTCCTTAGTGATAAATAAATAATATAATCAAGTCAAGTCAAGTCAAAATTATTCATGTAGGTAAAACAAACACTTATGAACGTCAAAAAAATACATTAAATGCTTCTAATTTTACATTTACTGCCAGTTCAAATCAGGGGCGTAGAATGGAAGAGAAGAACTGCCAATAAACTCTCCACCACTCTTTAATCGCCAAGTTTTTTGTTTTACTCAACGTTTGTAAGGAGCTGAAACCATTACACCATGTTACCTTACCACATGATATCTTAAGTAATAAAATAAATTAAAAACAAAGATTTGTTCTCTATCAGCAGGAGGCATGGTTAAATAGGAGCACGCACTTACATTCTCGTGGGAACAACACGCAAATACATAGTCGAAATAACTAACATCACCGCCTACACGAATTCAAGTACGACCAGTCACCACAAGTAGCACACGTTCACGAGTATGACGCATGGCCAGCCATCGTCCATATATACCAGGAAATACTTTTCACTTGTTACTTGTATAAAATGAAATATTACTCTAAGAATCACTTGCCAGTGAATCTATGTACAATGATTATACACCTTTCTATTCTCATTTATAATGAATTAGGATTTAAGCAACGCTCAAAAGATTAATTTCGAGTCAACTGAATTTAAAGTACCCTTAGCTGAAACAATTTAATAAAATTATTTTAATCTATTCAAAACCCGATTCAACAAGTAGCATTCAGAAAGTTCAATACCGAGATGGCTATTTTTATATGGGACGGGCGTTCAAAGTAATGAAGTAGGATATTCCCGGGAAGGGATTACGTTTTTGCATCGGGCGTCAAAGAGTGGCGATCTACTTGAAGATTTTCTTTCGTATGGTCTCTGAATACCACAATGCACAGTTCAAAAGAGCTTGATGAATTTCATGCTCTTTGTCTCTACGAGCTGTGGACTGCGGACGACTCTTTAATTTGGACCATTTTGCATCCTCCTTTTGTTCCAGTGAAATATTTCCGTATCCAGTTGCTTTACGTAGATTAATTCATACTAACAATGTTGTTAACAATTGAGATTGGCCTAGTGGCTTAAGCGTGCGTCTCTTAAGCCTGAGGTTATGGTTTCGAATTACTGTTGGTTATAGCACCAATGCATTTTTATATGAGCAAATTTAACACTTTTCTAGTGAAGTAAGACAAACCTCTATTAAAACAAATTCATAAAAGAAACTAATAGAATCTGTGGCCAAGACCCATATGTGGTTAAACCGTTTCTGGATTATGATATTGTTATGCTATTTAAGAAAGCATCTGTACGTGTTTGAGCTTTTATCCGATTCGAGAAATAAACTTGTGAAGTGGATTTACATATCAATGTGACTTCGTATTTTTCTATAAGCTGCTAAACTAACGAAAAAAATAAAAAGTAGTTAAAACCAAACTATTGTGAATTTTTTTCACCATAAAAAAAATCTTTACAAATCAATCAAAACAAGGTGAAAACGGGTAGGCCACCGGCAGTTTAAGTGATACTGCACAATGTGTGCTATCTTATATTATAACGTTGGGCAAACAAAACCGTTTTATAATAATGTGATCTCAAACTTAAATTATTATCTTTTAACAACATATTTGAATGTTTATATATTTTCCTTGTGTTATTAAAAGAGGGAGAATCAATTACGCTAGTTTTCAGCCACAATGGGTATTATTGTAATGAGATTTCAATAAAAAACAGAGCTTGTCAATAGCACGACTCAGATTTTTCATTAAAACCATCTTAACTGCAACCTTTCATGAAAGAGCAATTTCTCTCAGTTGGAAAATCTCGATGCAGCCGCATTAACGCTTTTATTTGCTTTGTTACTCGAAAAAACTTATTATTCCACTTCTTTTATCTTCGGAATACTATCCTCTTCGGTTTTAATATGTTAAAAATAATATATTTAATTTGTATATCGTGTAGGTCAGAAGTCCTAATGAGTGGTTCATTTCTGTCCAAATATTACCCAATAATGTGTACAAGACAAGCTAGCATATAGAAATCCATTTGTAAATAATTTATATGTTGATTTAGTACTGTTATTTATTATACATACATAAAAATACATCTGTTTATTTAATATATTTAAATAAACATATCTGGCAAAAGCCATTTTACGAAAGCGTATTTTGAAATTTCTATCGTTTAGGTATCTTTAGCCTCAAGGTTGTATTGGCTAAACATCCTTGAACATTTTATAGAATACAAAAGCAAAGTGACTGTTGCAGTTCAATATAAAATTTGCAGATAATACACCCTGACATTGACATGGGTTGAAAGCGACTCGCCCATCCATGAAAATGTGCGCTGCACCTCGTTTTATCAGTTATCATAATATTGCGAAAACTCCATTTTGCTTTGAAAGTGTTTAGACTATATTTAATACACAATCCTTTATATATACTCTCTCTGTAGGAAGGTTAGAGCATGGATTGGATCACCTGGGTTCGATTCGAACAACATTTGTTTTGGTAGGCACTGACTGTTCACAATTTGCCTTAAAAACAATAAGTACCAATGAAACAAACGCAGAAATCTGTCTGCCTCAAACAAGTAGTTAATCCGCTATATAAATACTTTATTATTAATTTTAGGTAGTTGATTAATTATGTTAATCACTTGTGAAAACAGACATCGTCATACGAAGCGCATATCACATTAAAAATCTTCTCACAATCAGTTTTCGCAGAGTTGACCTAAATCCCGTTATGTCAAACATGTTTCAAGAAGGTGTTCTTGCATATTGTCCGTTGTAAGGACCCACCCTCGTCAAAGTCATGCCTCATTGACCCTCACCGAATATTGACTAGGAAGCAATTTATTCCGTATGAATCTTGGATCGCCTCATGATCGCCAGAAGTGGCCCTGTTGATTTAAGTACTCTAATGTCCTGAGGCTATTTCTATTATGTTCATTTCTGGAATTATTTTCATTATACTGGTTAAACGTGTGTTTCTTGATCATTATAGTTTATTGTTACGATAAATTTTGGACCGAGCGTTTCAGCCGCACTTGACTTGATTTATTTTCTGCTGTTTAATTTTTGAGACCCTGGGAAAGAATTGACTTGGACATTCGTCAGGACTGTCCTTCCTTATTAAAATGTCATAAATATAAAATTATAAGCTCATAATAATGCATTCAATAACTAAATACCACAGGCGCCTATCATAATAAATAGTATTCCAAAAATACGGTTCGTTTTTAAATTACAAAGCATAATATGCAAGTGTTAATAAAGCTTCAATTCTTAATAAAGTTAAACACTTATTGCAGGGTTTAATTATCAGAGTCATTAATATGCTTACGAGTGTAGTTTATTTAATTTTTATGGCTGTCTCACGTAATAAAATCATAGCCGGTGCTGTTATCGTCGCCCGGCGGAAGATTGTTTTACTTGGAAGCTTGCCATAACGACGTAAGGAAGTACAAAGTATAAATACATTTTGCATGCCACTTAACAGTCTCTACGATATATCATAGAACAGACAAGCACGCTGTGAGAATAGTCTGCCGGATTGAACTTTCCTGTTTTCTAAAAATACTGCTTTGTTGTTTCACGCTTTGCAAATGCACTTTTGCTATCCTAATGTAACCCGATTGTTAAAGTGTTACGGTCGAATTTTCCAAATTGTATTTGAGTCGTGAGAATTAATGCATATGCATACGTTGTTTATGGAAATGTATGTGACATATGCGTATTGGTATAAAATATTTCGCCGTCGTTTCAAACATTATCTTTTGAAAGAAAATTTTCATATTTCTAATACGATTTGATTACATGTTGACGTTGCAATTTGGACTGAATACGAGTGCAGGCCTGAACTAGACGAAAAGTTACTTTGTATCCAAAGATACGTGAGCGAAATTCTTAAGTCTTTTACGCTAGTGCACTCGTTTGAATTCCTGCATCGTCGCCTCACATCCGACGTTAATATACCTTACTGCACCGTGACGACTGCTCGAGACAACGCAGGAAAAAGAATTTTATATTCTCTTGAATTTTGATAAGCAATAAAGTTAGTAACGTATTTATGCTTTGCAAAGTGAATATATCGACCTCAGCGTAACTTCCTCGCCGAATCCGTGGAAGTAGTTTAAAGTTGTACAAGTGGGAATGTTTGCTAAAGTTTGCATGCAAATGTAAAAGTAAGAAGTAAGAATTGGTGCGGCGTGATGCGGAGCGGCGTCTCGGAGGCGTGCCCCGGCGGGCCAATGGCGCCCCGCCCGCGCTCCGCCCGCGCTCACCGCCGCGAGCCAGTAGGTTTGTGTCCTTTTGGCTGACCGCATGACTCCGTATTCCGCTTCGTCGCCGAACTCGTTGTAACTCGAACAGCACGCGCTTGGCTTACGCCGGTGGATTCGGGCCTTGTGATCTAGTTGTTTGCTTCTCTTGCGGAGCTGCTGGTGCTACGAACGCAGGTACTGTGTCCGTACGGGGTCCCGCGCCCCTCGCGCCAAGCGGGCAGCGTTCCTGCGCGTCCCTACGCCGCGTCCTAGGCGACCGGCACGCGGGCCCTTATCAAGGATCTTCATACTCACTTTCATGTAGTTTCGTACACATAATCACACTGCATTAGTAATTTAAGTTCTGCGCAATTTTTAGCAAAGTTGTCTGGAAGGCCCCTTGTAGCTGTTGTATGATTAAGTAAACTAGTTTCTACATACGTTTAAGTGAAATTTACCTTTCAGCGTGGTAATTCATAGTATAGTTCTCAAAACGACGAAAATAATAGGCATGATCAAAAAAATAAAGTAGGAAAAGTAGTTAATAGTTCGTAAATTCACAGTTTCATAACACCTGTAGAATATAATATAAGTGTATACATAACTCTTAAGTAATGTAATATATTCAAATACAACTATCTAAAGTAGGTGATTAAGTTATTCTAAAGGAAAGTAAACTTTGAATGGATTCTCAACTATACATATTCAATGAGATTGATAATGCGATCTCTACTGTAAGGGAATACGGAAATCCAATCGTATTAAAAAGGAAGAAAGCCAGCAACAGAAACAAGATTTCCCGAATAAACATAACAATTTCCGGTTCATCGCCTCCGAACGCCTGCAGACAAATTAAAGAACATTTTTCCAGAGCTCTCGCTCCCACTTAGAGCCTCTACGGGCTCCATAAAACTTAACTACACGTCGTAACCGCGACTAATTATTAGGGTGGGTTTACATAACATATTTATGAGTTAGATTTAACGCTCGCCCGCGCTTCGCTCTCGGGTGCTCTGTTATCGTTTCATTAAAAAGTTGTCCTCTGCGGTCCGCTTTATTATACAATAAAGAGGGACAAATTAAAAGCTTAATGCGTCCAGAGGCGCAAGCGCAATTTTATTCACTCAGGATAAAATAATGGACTCGATGGATGGAGCTGATGTTAGTGAAATTTGCTACGCAGAATGCACACAGTAAAGAAGTCACAGAATTAAATCCAGCAGGTTATTAAAGCAAAACTAGCAAATGGAAATAGCTTCATATTTTTATATAAATCTAGTATATACGTACAGCAAGTAAGTAGTAAGTGTAAGTAAGAGTAAGTTCGTAAAATTGTATTTTAAATCAATTCTTAAGACTAAATTATGCGCCCGAGGAGGGTATATAGTGGAATTTTATTAAAACGCTATATCAAACCGAAAAATTTAACAAGGCGTATTATTTCGATCCTTTGTAGGCCAAATCTTACAAAGGCTGGATGAAAATTACCGGGACGCCGGCTGTTGTTGTTTACTCGGCCGGCTGAGTTCACTAAAGCGTGTCCCATATTGCATATACGAAAAACCTTAGTGCGCCATAATGTAGTAATATTCTTTTCCTGATATTTTTCTTTCTATCTATGATCTCTAGGGTCCAACCTACATCACATACTTCAAACATGAAATAGATTACTTACGAGGAACTATATTTATTTAATTCGAAGCAAATACTTTGCTTCGATTTAAATAAATACACTGCTCTCGAATTAGAATAATTAAACTCAGGTTCTTACTGCGTAGCACTGCAGAGGTTACGGCGTAGCAGTCTACAATAACAAGTTAGATTATGGAATTAGCCAAAAAATCCTTTGTATAATATGTATTACCAGGCATTATCTACATAAAATGCGTTCATAATCAATTTTTTTATGTATCCATGACGATAAAACTTCATATCAACGAATGTGTATACGTGAAACACAGTGCGATTGCAATCGGCAATCTTCTCCAAGAAACATTTTAAAATTGCTAAAAAAAAAACAGACACGAGTATCGGAACAAAACTAATATGTCGTGAGTTGATATAGAGGACTAATATTGAGGCAGCAAGTTGTATCCCAACGAGATTGCTCCGTACTGCGTCGCGCCACTTTCAAACTTTAGATGTTTACACACCGCTCCGACGATGATACTCTCGCTAATTTCTGTATTTACGACAGTTCCTTTGATACTTAATAAGAAAAACTTTCTTATCTCCCTTGATAAACTCCGACGACGGAATTAGACCGTCTAGGTACTTGAATAAAGGCTTTCTCTTCAAGTTTTTATTAAGGACGGGAAAATTAATTTTTAAACGCAGTTACTAACAATCTTGGCTAACTTCAGTTTTCATAACTTACTATGATATAAAATTTGAATTATGACTACTTAAAAAAAGAGATATTACTCGCTCTTTCTTAATGCCTATACTGAGTAGACTCGGTTGTGGATTTAATTCTCGAAAAAAGAATGAATTTAAAACTATAAATGTTACTGGTAATAGTGGTATAAGTGTCCGTGATAGCACCACATTCTTAGTACAAATTAAGTGTTTTTATTTCATAAATAAAATTATATTAGAGTTTCACAAACAGCGGATTCATTTCGTCTTGGCTCTTTATTGTTGTTTGTTTCTCCGCTAAAGTTGTTTATTCAGTATCTCAAGTACCTTAGATAAAAGTATATTGAAACTGAAACCGCCATGTGAAGCATTTAATATATAAACATATTATAAAGGAAATATTTTTATACGCATATTTATGTGCTATTAATCTCGTAAGTAGTAATCGCTCTGGTAATCGCTTTAAACTACTACGTTTATTAGAATTATATTTTAATTATGAATGAAATCCCTCATTTTATATTTTTACGTTTATCCATCATATATTTTGTATGTATGATATAATACGACTGATAATTTGATCATGATATTACTCCATATATATGCTCTAATGGTTATTTCTAACTTCAAAGTAAATTGATTGTACGTTTATTAGGTTAAACACCGAAAATTTAATATAATTTCTCAGAGTTCCAAAAAATAAGCCTATTCAAACATAATAATATTTGAACGATCATTAAGTAGAACGCTTTAACAAAGTAATCTCAATTTTCTGGTCCGAAGAACGAGGGCGCCGCCAGTCAGTCTGGCCAATCTACATATCTGGCAAATAAGCTAATTTCTATGAAATATGGAGTCGATAGCCTTCCTTTCATACATTCTGCTTGATCATTCCTAAATTATTCTCTATTACTAATACTTGTTCACTGTTAGAATATTATGAATTATTATCTCTTAACAAATATATCTATTATTATTTATCTCTTATCTCTTCTTTAAATGCTGTTAAATTCATTCGTATATTATTTGCATGTGAAATGCGAAGAATATTTTCAAATATCTAATAAACTACATTGTAAAGATATGGAAGCTTCGGAAAGATGGAATATTCTCGAAAGGCTACTAGTTTTTTTATCGCTACGACTTCATCAATAGTTAATTTATATGTTAATTAAAATGTTTGTTTACCACCAACTAATAAAATTATAGGATGTTAATCAAATTATACGTCCTTAAGATTTATAAAAGAAAATCGTTTTATTTTATCAAATATAATTACTGCGATTTAGATTAAAATATTCGAGAGAAAGAAATCCGTGTAAATAGCTATCAATAAATTTCTTTGATCTGTCAATTATTCCAGCCGAATCTGTCCTAAACAAACAAAAACGTTAGCTTTGCTCGAATGTATAAAGGGGATTTTTTCAGCCAATATCGTGCTAACTTGTTCTTATTCAAACGTCTAGAACATTGTGTGTAGTTAATGTACCTTGTTATTCTCATAAGCGGATGATGGTATATTATACTTGAGAGATTATTGTTACTATTATTGTATTAACTTTTTAAACATCCTTACTTTATGAAGAATAAGAACACAATATTAAATATTACAAGATAAGACAACTTTGTAATCTAAAAATGAAAATGTTTTAAATAAAAAACAAATTAATGCACAAAGCATGTAAAGACTATTAAATGTAACGCACCCGGTACTCGACCTTTCTTAGTCTTGATTAAAGGTGAAATCAGACATTATAAGATCGAGGCTCACTTAAAAAATAATATAATTGTCAACTGACTGGTTATTAATTAGACATATTTCTTGAAATTTAAAAATAAGAATATTTAAATTACATTTATAAAATATTAAAATCAAATTAAAACCTCCTTAAGCACATTTCTCGCAAGTTGTTGCATCATTACAACAGAAAATGCGACAGCAAGATCCTTTCCTCACTACGCCATCACGTTTTCAGCTCATCAACTGTCACTTCAACAAAATTTCCGCATACCGGAGAGGTAACTCTGTTAAGCATACGTCCCGGTAACGAGACGTGCAGTATAATGGGCTGGCACTCAACCGGAAACGCGTTCATGCTGTTTTATATTTCATAGTGGTGTGGCCAGTGCATCCAATTAACTTCACTTGTCCAACGTTTGTAATGCACGGTAAAATATCGAGCACTTGATGAGACTAGCTCTAACCACTGACCTATATTCATATTTGTAATAACAGTGAGATTGTTTTGATGTGCAAGGATTCAATTATTAATTAACTTGACGTTGCACTACGTAATTATTTCTGTTCAGTGTTTTCATGCATAATCGTATTATAATCTTGACAATTATATACACATAGCAGTTCATATGAATATGAAAAATTTGAAATAAGTGTTACTTCCGTTTAAACATTGATCTAAAACGTGTCACAATTTATCTACCCTTATGCGTAAAAACAGATATCATAGACATAGAGAGTAGAAACAAAAATATAATGTATTTGAAATATTCTTGACAAGTATATACTCATTGTACCATGATTGAAATGAATATAAATAATTGTTACTTGCGTTTAAACATTGATTTAAAACATATCACAATTTATCTACCCTTATGCGTAAAAACAGATATCATAGACATAGCAAGTACAAACAAAAATATAACGCATTTAATATCGAAAATCAGTAAGTATTTAGGTACTATTG